TTTACGAACGCTGTGAAGGGTGGAACATGGTTCACTCATTTTTCGTCAAAGATCGGCTCTTTGTTTAGTGTGTTTTACTTTGTAACTCTTCTACTTGGAGGGATGAGCATCATTCACTTTTCTAGCTTTACCAAAGCCATGAAGAGTGAGTAGTTTCTCATTCACTCTTTAGTAAGAGGTGACAGACATGTATAAATCATTCGGAAGTTATATTTGTGCATTTCGTTTATGCTTAATGCTTTATATTACACTTGCTTATTGAATGATTGAATGCATCTAGCAAAGCTAAGGTACAACCGTGGGTGCTTTCTATGACATAGATGTCTCTTGCATAGAAAGTTCCATTGGTTCTAGGCAAGTACCTCGACTAGATCTTCATGACTACATTTCAATCTTCACCATTATTATGCTTCATCTAAAGAATGGAATACTAATGCAATGGTTGGATGCCTAGTAGAGACACTTGCTTGTTTGTAGATGAGTTGAGTCTCGACACATACAATTCTTGTAAACCATTACAAAGACATCGGAACCATGCTCTTAATTCTCACAATCTATCTTTATCTTCCGATTAACTTTATGTTGACATAGGGGTTAATTGAGTTACCATGTACAAGTACAATAAGTCGAATGCTTAACTACATGTTCAAATCCTCAAATTAAAGGGTGATTGTTAGATTTGAAAATTTATTATATTTTTTCTAGAAAAACCCCTCGGAAAGAATCTTATATTCTGTCAAGAAAATCCCATAACTTCAAATATCAAGGGTTTTAGTTACTTTGTCTCTGTCACTACTTACTTTGAGACACCAACAATAGTTCCCTATGGATTCTACTCTGGACTTAAGCGGATTATTACTACAGCTTGACCATCTGCACTTGGGTCTACACATTTCGGATCAAGTCAAAGGACACGTAAAGCAACATCATGATCCAGTTTTGTTTTTTGTTTTTGTCTTTTAGAGCTTCAATGGGTATGTCCATTCTATTTTTGGCTCACATTCCTGCATATTATACATAATCTATAATTGGTATCAGAGCCATATATACTATTTTGTGTTTAAAATATGAGTACTAAGATGTTCACGACATGAAATAAACATTCAACATGTATTTAATGCATATATGTTACATATGTGTTCATGGTGGCATGATAATGACATGTTTATGAAACCTTTGAATTACGACATGATTTCGCATATTATGTTCACCATATGAGGTAGATAAAATCTAGAAAATATGGCATAAATTGGAATTGTATGTAATATCAAGCCCTAGTTTAAAATCATAAAATTGTGTTAAGTTTTGTTTACTATTTTTTGTGATTTATGCCATGAAACTTATATGGTTAGATAGTACTCGTCAATAGCTTTCAAAACTTATAAGAAATGCTTAAAACAAACATCTAGAACTCAAGTTATGAGCATTTGAAATTTGATCTCATAGATAGAAAAAGTCTACAATACCTCGTATGAATAGTAATTCGCATCAACAGAACTCGTGTGAACAGTGACCTCGCGTGAGACGTGGACCAAAAATAAATTAGACATACCTGTTGAGGCTTTAAATACAAAAACATTCCTATGTATCTTCAAACAATCAAATGCGAACAAATAGCTCATAGTAGTCACATCTACACAAAGCTAATGCAAGTCAAACTTGTATTCCACCATTCTAAAAACCTTCACTTTGGTCTTCAATAAAAGAATGGACAGAGCAAAGAGAGAATGATGGCTTGTTGGCTTCTAATATATCTTGAGAGTTTTGTTTCAAATCATTTAACTTGCGAAGGGATTTGGATCCCCTTTGTTACCCCTTCCCTTCAATTCCCCTCAATACAGTGCTAGATAAGTGACATCTGTAAAATTCTGAATTTCAATGAACAAGATTTTTCCTTGTGCAAAAATTCCTTAATAATGGTTAACATTCTACCACCAACAAAATGAATGAGGAAACATTTTACCCATTGAAATTCAGAATATTATATATGTCACTCATTTACCACTGTATTGAAGAAAATTGAAGGGAATGTGTAATTGAGGGTTCTAAATCCAATAGGGATTTGGGAGAGTGCATTGGGGCTTGATATTATCAAGTGGTTATCTCCTGGTATCCTAGTGAGAGTTAACCACTAGTTTAAACTAGTCGAACTCATTCAATCCATGGAGGACCCGACCCTGCTCCATATAATCCAGATTCTTACGTCAATAGGGGTGTCAAACGTGTAAGGTTAAACGATTATGTGTCGGATTAAACGGGTGACAAGTGAAAACATGTAAACCCATACACAACCCGTTTAATAAACGAGAAAAAAATCTTAACACGAATACGAACCGTTTAATAAACGAGTAACATGACATGAATTATTTAACCTGTTTAGATTTAATTTATTATTATAATTTTTGTAGTTGTCACTAAATTAAAAAAAAAATATGTGGCTATCACTAAAAATAATATATACATATTTGTGACTGTCACTAAAAAAAATCTGCCTAATTTTTTTAAATAATTATTAATTTATTATTATATTAATTTTATTTAAACAGATAAACAGGTCGACATAACTCACTTGAACATGACTCGTTTATTAAACGTGTTTGTCGGGTCAACACGTTTATCGTCCAAACCTATTAAGGTCTCGCTCAAACTCGCTTAATTCATGTCGATTAATCGTTTCATGTCGGACTTTGACAAGCCTATACGTCAAGCATAAGTGGTCTAATTTAAACATGAGTCCCACATAAAGGGAGATATACACTCAGACCTCCTGAGATTGTCACTTAATCACTTAGATCCCCTCACATTTGAAATTTTAAATAGAGATCCTCTAAAGTTTGTACATGCGTAACACTTAGACCCCTGCTGTCGATGTCTGTTAATATATTCGTTAGTAAATTACACTCAAATCCCCTAAAGTTTATAGGTTTGTAATATTTAGACGGCTCAAGTTTAAAATGTTATACTTAGACAAAAAATATTTTAATCAAAGATAGAATATCAAATATTTTAAATTTTACAACTAAAATTCATGTTTTATTATGACATTTATTGAAATAAAATTAAAAAAAAAATCTAATTTTTTCTTAAAAAATCATAATTAGTATAGAATTATACTATCTATTGGAATTTATTTTAGTTGTTTAAACAACCAAATTAATCTACCAAATTACCCAAATTAAAGTTAGAAGATACTGTATCTATTACAGATTGACCCCTTATTTAATTTTTTTAGTTTTATTCCAATAGATAATATAATTGTATACTAATTATGATTTTTTTTAAAAAAAATGGATTTTAATTTTTTATTTTATTTCAATAAATATCATAATAGAATATGAATTTTTGTTGTAAAATTCATGTCCTATTATAAATGACTTAGACCACATGTTTGATTTTTAGTTTTATTCCAATAAATAGTATAAATTATAATTTTTTAAGAAGAAATTAGATTTTTATTTTTAATTTTATTTCAATAAATGATACAATAAAACAAAAATTTTAGTTGTAAAATTTAAAATATTTTATGTTCTATCTTTGATTGGAATATTTTTGATCTAAGTATAATATTTTAAACTTGAGGAGTATAAGAGTTTGTTTGGTTTGCATATAAAAAAACATTATTTGAAAATTATTTTTATGAAGAGTTTTAAGAAAATATTTTTAAAAACTTTTAGATTACAAAACCTGTTTAGTTATTTATTTTTTAAAATAGTTTTAAAGAACAAAAATTATAAAATTTGTTTGGACAATATTTTACAATTACCACCTCTCTTCAACTCTCTGTCTCTCTTTCACTAGCATCAAGACCACCACTCTCTGTCTCTCTCTTTCACTGTGCATCAAGACCACCGCCGACCCACAACCACCACTCAAAACTCACAATTACCACCGAAACTGAGAACCATCACCAACCCACAACCACTATCGAAACCCAGAACCACCACCAACCCACAATCACCCAAAGCCCACAATCACCACCAAAACCCACAACCGCCCAAAACCCACAACCACCAAAATCTACAACCACCTAAAACCGCAATCACCACCCAAAACCCACAATCACCACTAAAACCCACAACCACCACCTGTGTTTTGAATCCAGATGTAAGGGAAAAAAAAGACACTGGAAAGGAAGGAGAAGACGCCGAAGTTTTTGAAATGGTCTGTGTTTCGTCTAGACAGTGGAGAGAGAGAGAGAGAGAGAGAGAGGGGGGAGAGGGGGATGCAAGTGAGGGCTTTTATACTTCAACAAAAAAAAATGCATTTTGTTATTAAAGAAGTTTGATGGGTGGACCTCATTAAAGAGGAAGGACTATTTCCCTTATTTTCTATTTTACTCTAAAAACATCATTTTGTTGTTCTCTAAAACTACATTTCAATTCTCAAAATTTTTCAAAATTTGGAGAACAAAAAAGCTAAATAAACAGATTTTTGGTGTTTTTGAAATTTTGAGAAAAAAAAAATAGTTTTTGGAACGCAAATCAAACACGACCTAAATATTATATGCTTATAAATTTTAGGAGATTTGAGTGTAATCTACTTAAGGAAATTGACTGTAGGGTTTTAAGTGTTACGCACGTACAAACTTCAAGAGGTTTATATATAATAATTCAAATTTTAAAAATATTAGTGATTTAAATAACAAATTTCAAGATGTCAAGATATAATTCTCTCATAGTTTAATTGTACTGAATCCAAAAGCGTTGACATAATCCCATCTTGAAGCGTGTCCCAATAGGGGATATTTATAACCAAAACACCAACCTTGGGGGTGTAATATTAGGCTTTTAACTCAGATCGGCCGCAAAATAAAATGAAATACTTCACAGGGTCTCGATTTAATTATTCCAGTGTAACAAAGAGGAGAAATTGCTATTCAATCGTGACAAAGGCATCGTTTTGTGAGTGTCTAGCCTTTAGAGAACAACCGTCGTGCTGTACAGTGGAGCCAAGCTCGTTGCTGTGAGCCTTGTTGCCCATCTCTCTCTTTCTCTCTATGCATGCAAATGAATTTGGCAAAGCTGAGTGTTTCTTCAGCTATCAAATGCACTTTGAATCATAAACCCACACTTAAAACAACCATAAATCTATCAATCTTGGATACGAAATTACTCCAATGCCAAACTCTCAGGCAATTTAACCAAATTCTCTCCCAGATGATCTTCACTGGTTACATCAAAGACGCATATGCTGCAAGTAGAATGCTCAAGTTCTCAACTGACTCGTCATTCATTCACATTGTTTACTCTCAGAAAATCTTCAATCGCATCGAGAACTCAAACGGGTTCATTTGCAACACCATGATGAGAGCTTATGTACAGAGAAACTATCCTCAAGAAGCTGTCTTTCTTTACAAATTGATGCTGGAGAACAACGTGTGTCCCGATAATTATACTTACCCAATTCTAGTTCGAGCTTGCACTCTACGATTCTTGGAGTTTGAGGGTAAAGAGATTCATGATCATGTCTTGCAGACGGGTTTTGACTCGGATGTTTATGTTCAGAACACTATGATTAATATGTATGCAGTTTGTGGGAATATATGTGGTGCAAGGAAGGTGTTTGATGAAAGTCTTGTATTGGACTTGGTTTCATGGAATTCGATGTTGGCGGGGTATGTTCAAATGGGAAATGTAGAGGAGGCAAACTTAATATTTGGTCTGATGCCCAAAAAGAACTTAATTGCGTCGAATTCTATGATTGTGTTGCTGGGTCGGTCAGGTCGTGTTAGTGAGGCTTGCCTGTTGTTCAATGAAATGCAAGGAAAAGATTTGGTTTCATGGACTGCATTGATTTCTTGTTATGAGCAGAATGACATGCATGAAGAGGCTTTGAATACATTCGTACAAATGAATGCTAATGGAATTATGGTAGATGATGTTATAGTCATTAGTGTTCTTTCAGCATGTGCACACTTATCGGCAGTGAAGACCGGAGAATTAATCCATGGATTAGTTTTAAGAATTGGAATTGAATCTTACATTAACCTTCAAAATGCTTTGATTCACATGTACTTAATGTGTGGGCGTATAAGGGCTGCAGAACAGCTGTTCAGTGCAAGTCACCACTTGGACCTGATATCTTGGAACTCTATGATCTCTGGTTACTTGAAATGTGGCTCAGTCGAAAAAGCCAGGGAACTGTTTGATTCCATGCTTGAAAAGGATATTGTATCATGGAGTGCAATGATATCCGGTTATGTGCAACTTGACCGGTTCTCAGAGACCTTAGCGTTGTTCCAGAAGATGCAGCTTGGAGATATTAGGCCTGACGAGACCACCTTGGTGAGCGTGATCTCTGCTTGCACGCACTTAGCTGCCCTTGACCAAGGCAAATGGATACATGCATACATAAGGAAGAATGGACTTTCCATTAATGTTATTCTTGGTACAACCCTTATAGACATGTACATGAAATGTGGTTGTGTTGAAAATGCTGTGGAGGTCTTTGATGAAATGGAGAAAAAGGGAGTATCTTCTTGGAATGCTCTGATTCTTGGGTTTGCCATGAATGGGCAAGTGGAAAGGTCACTTGAGATGTTTTCAGACATGAAGAAACATGGGGTAGAGCCTAATGAGATAACCTTTGTGGCGGTTCTAGGGGCCTGTCGACATATGGGCCTAGTAGACGAGGGTCGCTGCTACTTTGATTCTATGATTCACTCACACAATATTGAACCCAATTTTAAACATTATGGATGCATGGTTGATCTCCTTGGACGTGCAGGCTTACTTAAACAAGCAGAGCAATTAATTAACAGTATGCCTATGGCACCTGATGTTGCTACTTGGGGTGCATTGCTAGGGGCTTGTAAAAAACACGGTGATAATGAAATGGGGGAGAGGGTAGGAAGGAAGCTTATTGAGCTTCAGCCCAACCATGATGGCTTTCACATACTACTATCCAATATATATGCTTCAAAAGGTAACTGGGATGATGTTCTTGAGATCAGAAGGATGATGGTGGATCAGGGAGTGGTCAAAACCCCAGGCTGCAGCCTGATTGAAGCCGGTGGTGTTGTTCATGAATTTCTAGCAGGAGATGAGACACATCCTCAAATAAATGAGATTGAGGTGATGTTGGGTGAAATAGCTAAGAGATTGAAGAATTTAGGTTATGTACCACATAGAGAGGAGGTTTCCCTTGACATTGACGAAGAGGAGAAAGCGACTACTCTTTTTAGACACAGTGAGAAGCTTGCGGTTGCTTTTGGGCTCATTGCGATTTGTCCATCAACACCCATAAGAATAATGAAGAACTTACGAATATGTAATGATTGTCATACCGTGGTAAAGCTTATTTCCCAAGCTTTTAATCGTGAAATTGTTGTGAGGGATCGGCATCGCTTTCACCACTTTAAGCAGGGTTCTTGTTCATGCTTGGAATATTGGTAACAGATAATGACATAGAAGGAAATTGGTTTGACAATACTCCTCTTATCAGCATCACTTGCTATTATGCATACAGACATCAAGCACCCCATTATTCCTCAGGGGTGTGTTAAATAGATGTATATACCTTATTTATGAAAGATATGTCCGGACAGCCTACAAATTGCTCATTTGATAGGTCACGATTCTGCTATTAGCTACATTCTTCGTTGATCAGATGAGATCTGCATTTTTAGCTTCTTGTTAGATGCAAGGCAAGTACCTCTTGGACCCATACAATTATGGCTTGAAAATATGCTGAAGTGTTTTAGTACTTTTTTGTTACTTATAAGAATTACACTAGCTTTTCTTCTATAGGTGATCATAAGTGCTAATTCAGCCAACGATATATTGCAGGTTGGAGTTTGGGAATCAATCTCTCCAAAATCAGGTATGGCTACTTACCACCATCTCCCAGATCTGTTGTGGCCCTTGGGGGTGAATTTATGCACTAGGTACAACAATTAGCTTTTCTGCATGTCGTGTTTATGTTGAGCTATTTATGGAGAGTCCTCATTGAATATGTGTCAGGTACTTGACCGCAGCTTGCAAAACCAAGTTAAAGCTCTTCAGTCTGACAAGACATTGCAGGTGCAGCAGGTATTTGAATTGCTTGGCCCTTTAGTTTTATGCTTATGTATTGTTAAACGGGGAAAGAGTTTATGGGACTACAAGGATTCATACCTTCCTGTTGAGTTGCAGGTCTTAATTTTTGAGTTCAATATTCTGAGGGAAGGAGCATGAGTGTGGTTTTTCGTTTCTCCTCCAAGAGAAGCCGATTCTCAAATCTGTGCAAAAATGATTGTTTGGACTATAGTATCATACTATCTTTATCATGAAATCTTTAGGAGGTTTGTATTGTGCAATGATAATCTGTTATAGTCTATAGTCAGATCAGGAAATTATTTTGTAAACTTGGATCTCTACTCTATATTCTCACTCTAAAAGTGGTCATATGGTATCTAATGATGTATTCTACGCGGTTGAGTGAAGGTAAATGGATTGGGGATTACTATCATATCTAGTCAGAGCTTCTTGGCTCTTGGTAGTTCAATAATCAATTTAGGGATAATAGTTGTGAGTAGAACTTAATAGACTAGAGGTTTATAGTGGTTCACCAGCTCGAAAGGTTGACTAATCCACTTTAATTGAGTCTCTTGCTTCTGGGGAAATTCTCTATTACTTGGGGAAGGGGGTTACATAATTATAGTGTCAATATATGAATGCTTGATCTCTCTCACAATGTGAGGGATTTGATCCCTCTTTATAGTGTATAGTTGTCTTGCGTAATCTCTGCAATCCTCCAATAACCAACATGATCCTTGCGTAATAAACGTGATCCCTTTAGGGTTGTTACAATTCATGTGGCGGAATATTTGACCTTTAAAGACTACATTCCATATATGTGACGTGACCCTCTAGAAGGTGTGAGCTGTCATTGTTGTAGTGCACATACGGGTCATGTTGGTGACAATTCCCAACATGTGCCTCTCGAACTAGGAGTCCTGAGTTGGAAGGTCTGAGATATGAGGTCTGGCTTGGGACGTCTCATCTATGACATTTGAGCTAAGGTGCTTGAACCGAGGTGACCACCTGGGATTGAGAGGTCAGGTCGTTCACTTGACCTTATCTGTCTCAATTGGAACTCAGATTTTTACAATATATCGTGGGCCCTTATTAAAGGTAAACCCTTGATCTACTACTGGGCCGAGCTTAACCTTGACTAATTTTTGGTATCATCAGTTGTCCCCCAATCCCTAGTTAGGTAAGTCTTGTTTGACGTGGATTGGGAATGACATGTGCTACTGGTTGTGGATAAACTCGGTTTGGTTTTTACTTGTGAGGTGCACAATAGGACGTTTGTTAGAGTTTTCGGCATCATGCGCGTGCGAGTGGTCACACATGCCTTGATTATCGCACATGCCCATTGTTCTCACACTATGTATCCAACCGTAAGAAAGCCTTAAATGTTTCTACAAATAAAAAACCGCCAAACACTTTACTTTTCCACATTTTTTTGCCTTTTTGAATCCTTTCTTCCTTTTTCCAGAAAATGCCTCTTTCTGCGCTTTGCTCTATAACTTCTTCCTTCTTTTCTTCCTTTGTTCGTCAATCCTTCTCAACGAGCGCCCAGATCTTCATTGGGTCTACTTCGAGGACGCATGAAACTTCTCTCCACCTTTTTAGGCATTGTTCTTGGTTTTCAACTGTCAATCGCCTTTGTTTAGCTATGTCTTAAGTCTTGTCTCTTTTTAATTTCTCTCTTCTAGGGTTTCTTGCTCAACCCTGGATCCTTTAAATTCAAGGTGGTTATTTCACTTTTGGTCATTCCACTTTTCTTACTCTAGGAGCTTTGGTCGTTCTTTTTTTTTTTCTTCTCCTTTTCTTTGATCCCCATGCTACTGCTAGAGTTTTTCTCTTCAGCAGTTGGTGTCTTTACCCTTGAGCCCTTTAGGATCGTTTTTTAACATTCCTTCTCTCTACCCTTCTTTTGGCTATTTTGCCTCTCGTGCTTTCATGTCTTTTTCTTATGAGGCTACAGGGTCTTCTGTCTCTCTTGCCATGGTTGGCATCCTTTGTATTGAACTCCCACTCCTTGCTAAACACAAAGAAGAAGCTATTTTCCAACTTTTGTGGGAGGACGTTAGGTCGGTAATCAGATATGTTATGTCTTCACTTGTTTAGAGATGTAAAGAAAGTCATCGATAGGAGAGAATTTGATATTGAAGAAGTGCATAAGTAAAGGAATAGAGGGGAAACTAGCAAGGCCGTTTTCTCTGAAGAAAATCATAAGGCCTACTAAGATATCCCAGAAATTAGGAGAGAGTTGAGCAGGACACACATTGAAGTACTAGAGAACGAACTTCAAGAAGGGGTGCATAGAAAACCTAAGACCCTTCTCAATTGTGGCCAAGAAGAAGACAGTGTTGTATTGGTTGTCCACATTAGGACACCAAACGCACATATTCCTAGGGAAGTCGAACTTGGCAGAGATTGTGTCAAGCAGAAGGGGTAACTTTACTAGGTCTAGAGGTATCTAAGGTGTTTGAAGCGACCTCATCTTCCCCAGCCATGCCTGGGGTCCAGACGACATTTTTCTTAGCCCGTCTCTTTTGAGACCTCTTAGGTTTTGTAGTTGAACCATGGAGGAACAAGGGAGCCCTAGCACTAACAACCTGGCATCAACCACATCAACTCCGGCGAAGTTGTCTATCTTGTCTCCCATATCCCCAAGGTCATCAAGTTCATCAGTGTCAGACATGTTGACCCTTTGATTCACCTTGGGGGAGCTCGGAACTTTGTATCCACCAATACTTCTGTGATGATGGGATCGAACTTCTCCTGTGGATACATCCACATTTAATCTTTATAATAAAGTTGAAGATGAGTTCATAAATGCACTTAAGAAAAATTTATATTAGGATTGTCTAGCTTATTTTTCTAAAAAAAATAAGAATTTGTTTAAGATAAAGACATAGTGGATTTAAAATCTCTTATGAAAATTATACTTATGGTGAATTAATCTCTGAATCTATTTCAGAAGGTTTAGCCCTTTACAATGATTTAAATTTAAAAGCTCAATTAAAAAGACAAAAATTAACAGGTCGAAAAGAACTTGAAGAATTCTATAATCAATTTGCCTATCAGTTAGATATACCTAAAGAAAAATTATCAAAAGGAAAATCTTATCTTCTGTCTTTGAGGAAGAAAAATAGATTCCATAAAAAGAACTATGATAAAAACAAAGTCAATAAAGAAGAATGTAAACTTATCAAAACCACTAAAGAAAAAGACAAGAAGTCTATCACTTGCTTTAAATGTGGGAAAGTTGGACATGTTGCATCCAAGTGTTTAACTAAAAAATAAATTAATGAATTAATAATGGATAAAGATCTTAAAGAAATGATTTTGAAAATTGTCTTTAATCCAGATAGTGAAGATAATGAATCAATAGAGGAATCATCCTCCGAAGAGGAATATAATATTAATGAAATAAGTAATTCTTCCTCTTCAGAAAGTAATTTGGAATAAGATAAAACTTGTTCATCCTATTGTAGAGCTCAAAATAATTATTATAAAGTCATTTTGGATATGAATAGATTAAGTATAAATATTTTATCTTTATAAAAAATGTCAGTTATAAATCAAATAAAATAAAATAATTTTAATTCTAACCCTTCTAAGAGTTTTATTGCAGCCTATAAGCAAGAAGTTGCAGAGATGAATTCTAGCAAAGATTCATTTGCTTTGGTCCCTATTGTCAAATCTCCAAAACTTCTTGACTGTATTTGTGATTATGTAGGTGAAGATATTTTTAGTTTTGCTTCCAGTTGGCATCTTAATTATTGCAGGGTTTCACTATGGTGTCTTTACTGCAATGCTATGGAAGATCAATTAATTGATGATGTCCCTATTTTTTTACTAAGAATTGCAAGAGCTAAAAGTGACTCTTCTAAATTTCGTCTCTTTCTTGAGACAAATGAATGGTATTTTGATTGGAGAATAAAATATTGGCTGGAGAATATAGTGGGAGATGAATTCAGCAATCTCATAAAAGAGACGATTGGTGGAATTCTGGTAAGAATTCAAATCTATGTATATAAAAATGCATATTATTTATCTGATGAAACTGATGCATATAAAGATGCTTACTATCTCCCTGAACAGTTCAGGGATGTTTACTATTTGCCTAAACAGCTTAAAACTGTCAATTATCAATATTTTGAAGAAGAATTATCAAATAAAAGTGATAACAATGTGATATTATTGCCTGAGCCTAGCTCAAGGGATAAAGCCCTTTTAACTATATCCCAAACTTTAATATCATCTCCATATAGGGAGAACAACTATATTTCCTGGTTCAATGCCTTTTTAAATAATTGCAGGATACCCTGAACCTATGAAAAAATAATTTGAATTGTATAAAGACAAAAGTCCATATATGAACTGCATTAAAGAAGGATTAGTTCTTACAAAGTATTTTGAGACAACAACTCAGTCAGTAAGTACAAGTAATGGTTCGAGATTAAATATAAAATTTAAATTTTCAAATGTTTACATTTGCAATCAAGGAATTTGTAGTCATTCTACTTTTATGTTGATAACAAATTTAAATCACTTTGTAGTTTTGGGAACACCATTCTTATCTATGATTGAACCCATAAAAAAAATTGATTCAAAAGGGGAGCCAAACCCAAATTAAAGAGGCTTTAATAGCCAAACTCAAATTAAACTATACAGAGTTAAATACTTTGTCTGCTTATAGCAGTATAATGACTCTTGATTATGAATATATTAATTAGATGGTTGGTCTATATTATATTGCTAAAAGATGTATGACGTTGGATAAAGTCTTCTTATTTTCTAGAAATAAAGACAGAGAATATTATGAAAATATTCTGATTGAAACTAACTCTGTTAAATTTCAGAGATTTTTTAATTATAATTCAGATCATAAAGATCTTCAATATAGTAAAGTCCCTCATATTAAGGGTGATATCTGCTAAACATTGGGGTATTAATCTTATTCTCCCCAAAACATTAAGCACTCCTGCATATACGGAGTATAACTATTTTGATTATATTAAAGTTTGGAATAATGTTTTCTTATATGAAGTCATAAATTTAAAGTATTCATGGTTCTTCCAATTCACTGAAACTTATACGGAACTTCCTAACTAGTTTTATGATTGGTGGGAAACTCATGGTGCTATTGATAGGATATACCTTGAACCTATGAAAAAATTAATTGACTTGTATAAAGACAAAATTTCATCCTTAAAGGATAATGATATAGCAGCAAAACCAATTATTAATTTCTCACTTGAATTCTTTGTTCCATGGATTTGGGTGTAAAATTTGACTTGTGATTTTAATTAAAACGGACATCCAGATTAATTAGGGAATGCCATATTCATTTTTAGAATAATTATCCGCTTGAATCTAAATGTTAAGTCATAGCAGAATATCTTAAAGAGATGAGAAAAGATGAAGAAAAAGTTTCACCCTCTACATCTATAATTCCGACTAGCATAATAAATATTAGAGCTAATTTTAATCCTATTGAAGTTCTTAAATAACAAATTAAAAAAAAAATCACATTTAAATACTGAACACTTTAAAGCAGTAGTTATGGAGGCGATGCGTTTTCAGGTGATATTTACATTTGGAATGAGCAAATCGAGAAGATTGACCTATAGTGTGTGTGTGTGTGTGTGTTGAATGTACAAAATGCAAACAGAGGTCTTTGCTCAATGTCAGCTACCCGTTAGGTGTCTCCTTTCTCTAACACCATCTGCGTAATTCTTTAATTATCCTCTTTATCGTAATTACTTCTTTTTGACTTGGAAATCTAGTAAGATTAGAACTCTAGTCGGCAAGAAATCACAATTTCTCTCCAAGCTGAACTCTTCTTCCTTTTACCCCCATCGTCCAAATCAAGCTTCTCTGAGAAAATGAAGCAAATTTCTTCAACCTTGTGGGCTCCTGTACATAATCAACTTTAAGTCCTATCTTCTAAATCATATGTATCAAGAAATCTAAATCAGCAACGTATCCAGTTTCTTTCATATGCAACATATCTGCTGCATAGATATTTGACAGTATCACATATGTCCCTGATTTATTAGGCCTCGCATCCGACACACTCCGAGTAGCCAGTTTCCACAAGTCAAACTCCATTCAAATTGTATCATACGATGGAATTCAATATCAAATCTATCTGCTTCTTCAGGCTTAACATATTCTAAACTCGAAAATAAATCTTGTGAGCATTTTTGGCCACTAGTTTAACCAACTAGAACTTCGATTTAAAGACACTTGAACCTTCTTCGAGTAGTCCAGCATGGCTACAAGCCTCGGAACTGCCATAATCACTATTCGATCAGAGCCTAATGACAGACCTGATCATCTGAACAAACAATACAAGAACCTCTTTTCCACATCCATAGCTCCCATATCCTATCATTGCATAAGTCCACTTCACTACATCTCTGCTTGACATTTCATTTCAGTGTAAAATCTATTATGTTCCACACATGGCATATATTTCTATAAGGAAATATCTATAATGCCAAGTTTACTACAAACTCCCTTTTGGACGATCCATTCACGACAAATAACCATGCCTACAGCACATGTCTAGTATGGAATTCATTACAGCAATATTGGAACTACAACCACCTCTAATAACTGTTGCATGGAGTTTCTTGACATTCGTATAAGAGCCAGTTGAGGTGCAAGCGCTATCTGCTCTAGAGAAGCTAAAAGGGTTTGTTTCAGCTTCCTCCAGTCATAAAAAAATCCAAGAAAAAAATGCATACTTAGAACCACTAAACAGTATTTACATCGAAACTGAGTATATTTTGTATAGATATTGAAACAACACAAACGAGTACTAAAACTACACATGGAATATGCAAAAACATTAAAAACCAATGTTTTCTTAACGATCAAGCCATTTACCTAGGTATCAATAACATTTGCCCAAAAACACTTGAAGGAAAGCATAGCCATTAACCCGATGAGTGCATCCAGTGATCAATGTAGTCCATGACACAGAATTTGTCAACCTAAGATCTCAAAAAAACATGCATGCATTGTCCATACTGCACAACAACACAAAGCATACGTGCCCAAGAGAGCATTATTAACTTAAGGTTCTGTCTAGTGGAAGAATCTGGCATTTCATGAAACAAGATAGATTGCACCACATGGAGGTACCTATCTATAAAGGAGATCTACTCTCTTCAAATCAATAGAATTTACTTTCACTTTTTTAGCTGTAGAGTGTAAGGACAAGACACTCGAGCATCGTCTGATCAGTATAAGTGTAACGAAATCGCGTTTAGTCACCAGAAGGAAGCAACCAAGACAAATGCAAAGCAATTGATTTACCAAAAGGAGAAACAACATAGGAAAAGGACTGCAAAGAAAGGCTAGAAAGTATATTGATATGTTCATGCTATTTTGGGACAAAAACAGAGGTATATGACCAGCAGAACTTTCCGCATCAACATATTATTCCACATATGTGAGCATGTCATAGTTTACACACAAAATACATAAAAATGGCCAGAGTGCCATTGACTAATTCTACAGCTCTCTCAAAGAATCACTTCTTTTGACTTCCTACACATACTAACTCGTTTAAATGATCGGGTGACAAAAAGATGATAATTCTACATTGGCGTGTTAAAATATGTCAGTGTCGAATTTTCAGGTAACACAATCCTATTAAAAATATTTGTTACTCTATCCGATACTAGCGGCTGTACAGTAGAGAAGGTCTACACCTTCAAAAGATGCCTCTTCATTACACGAGAATCTGAGACTTGGCAGCACCACGAGAGCATTTTTTCCTGCCGGTTTTGCTAAGAGCACAGACACAAATCTCAAGGAGATCATAGTCTTCTTCCCAGAATAAGAGCGAAGCCATCTCAGGATTTTCCAAAAGCATTTTAGATGTCAGAAACCCAGCAACTGTCCAAGTTTGGTAAAGCCGGGCTTGCTTTCCAACATACTTTCCATTCCTGGTGTCATAATATTCAGGCCAACGATCAACCAACAGTCTTTTTTCAGCCAAACAGACTGCCTTCCTTGCTAGTTCGGCTCTGCCCATCTTAATGCATGCCAGAGTGAACTGAAAGAAAAAGAAGACACAGAATCTCTGAAGTTAGAGGAAGCCAATGGGGAGTTTAGAACGATCATCTTAGAATTTGTTCTTGTAAAGTGTCATTAATCATCTTCAACTTCATTTCAAGATCAGAACAAGATTTATCAAAATTTCAGTACCTACATCTAGGATATTAAACTGTACTTGATTCCTTTTCTAAGTTGGAGGCAGGTTATGTCCACAACAGCACCGAGTTGTAAGCCAACAGAACCCATTCTCTCCAAACTTTTTGGCAAAGTCATAGCCTATCATTGTCGTTTCTTGTTCCACTTTTCTATTCACTCTCCATATTTGGTCTTTCTCTTGAAAAGGCAAATAAACAATCCTATGATTCCATCCCCTTGGTCAAAACAGATTTTCTTCATATGACTAGTTATTTTGTCCAAGATAGTTACCGTCCTAAAGAATATTTATGGTTACAACTAAGTACTCCAATACTCCCTCTTGCCTCTCCAATGGCAAAGCCATCGTAAGACCAGGCCGCCATGGTCCCGTTGAGCTTTGAAAATTGTCTTCTAACTACTATATAATTTTGTTAATTTTCGTGATAATTATTAAACTGGCCCTCTTAAAGCACGAATGTTCACCGTATGGCCCTCTCAATCCTAAAAATTATTCTGTTCCACTCCTGGTTGGCCCTCCTAATTTTTAGTTTTTGGTTGTCCGTGAAATCTCTCCAAATAAAAAAATTTAATCCAAAGTGCCTAAATACTTGACCTAATTCATTCCAAACCATCAAATGAACCAAACACTAACAATCCTCAATCCCTGGGCCCCGTTTCTCCAGGGAGAGCTGAACAAAAATATTCAGGTGCACCTCATGAATTGATTATGTTGCTCTACAGTCAATTTTCCAGATATATCAATAGTTGAAACCCCCCTGCAATATGATGGGAAATTAGGTATGGGAAACATTATTGTAGCATTTCCAAAATCATGTTAACAAGTCAGTTCAAAAATGGATCCCCCATTTTTTACCAGCTCTAGAAGTCTTGAGTTCATCACCTTATTTATGACCAAGTAGATCTATTTGAAGAAATTGTTTCTCAACCACAACCATGCAAATACATTTAACTCGCTACTTTTATTTCAATAGAACATAAATTTTTTTTGAGAATTTTATTGCACTATTTCTCCTTCTTAATTTAATTTCATTTTTCACGTAGTAAAACACTCAAGTTCTACCAGAACATGAACCTTCTTTCATCACACATTTTCACTTCTAATAGCATAGAGTTATTGGGAAAAGTCCCAGCTAATGATGAAATAAATGCATAGTGCCTGTCTAAAACCAACACGGGTTCATGCCAGTTCTGCCCTTGACAATGACTACTTCAATGGTTGTGAAGAATTCACCAAAAATCAACACAAGACTCACTGAAGGCATCGTGAACTCCCAAGTTAATAAAGAATTATGTCCAATGAGTAGCTTTCAGAGCATATAGCTTCTAATATATAATCAGAGATTACCTGCCATAGAAGCGTTGGCCAGGATCCGCCGTTGTGGTATGACCAGGGTCTGTGCAAGAATGGATCATATTCAGCATTCATGAGCAATTGCCAATAAACCATTATAACATAGCTCCTCCCCCCCCCCCCCCCCCCAAAAAAAAAAAAAAACCGAACAAAACACCCACATAGAACTAGAAAAACTTACGTATTCTTAGGGTCACTACCAGTGATTATTCTCCATTCTTCATATTCCAAAGCAGGGTAACATATCTTGAGAGGCATATGGCCCACAAGATCATCCCATTTGGCTTCAATTAAATTTAAAATAGCCTCATTTTGTTGTGGAGTACCCAAAGACGATACAATGGACCAGAGATTGCCAAGCGTGAAAAACCTAAAATCCATGTGAGCTGGCTGTAGGTTACCGATCAAATAACCCCCTTTCTCTGGAATCCAATCCATTAACCAATTAGGGATTTGTTCAGGGTAGATATTGAACTTATTAGTGGCTTCTGTGGAGTATTCCTCTGTCTTGTATCGGTATATCTCATTGATCTTCCTCATATCAACCCAATAATATTCTCTGATATGAAATGACAATGCACTGAGTCGATTATTGATGGCCCTCACCAAGTTCTTGGATCCATCATCTAAGGCAAGCATCTCACGGGAGCACCGTAGGGCTGAGTAGAATAGAGCCTATGAAGACAAACTTCAAATGTATGAGATATGCCCAGGGGTGAGGTAAGATATCTAAAATTTGTAATGAAAAGCATAATATATCCTACAAATATGCATAGCAAAAGAGTAGCCCTGTGAAAGGTTACAACAGGAAGCAAAAAAGGTTACAGCAGGAAGTAAAACTATCTTTGGGTCACTCTGAAAGGAGCCAATTCTACATTCAAATATGCGTTCTACCAAAAAAAAGCAGTCAAGAACCAGTTTTGAAGAACTTTCAAGAAATTCAAAAACCCCACTTCTTCATTTGAAAATATGTAGACGGTGGGGAAATGGTGACAAAAATGTCAAGTGTCAAATGTGAGGTCTCTCTCTAGAAGACCCTATTACATGGTTCAAAGTATCGGTCGATACTAATACGAGTTGGCCGAGTTGTATCTGTCTTCGCACCATCAGACGATACCGTTACACGATACGTATAAACCCCGAGTCTTGAACAACTCGACCAAGTCGTCCAAGTTGTATCCGAATCAATTCCGAGTCGTTGAAATATCGTCACCGAATTGACCGATACGGTTCAATGACGCCGTGAAATATCCTGAATTTCTCGTCTTATTCAACATTTTTTTCTAAATCGTATCACCCCATACCACACCGTGACCAATGTGTCTCAGTGTTCTCCGAGTTACTGGCCGATACTGCGACCTTGAACCATGTCCTATTATTATTTATATCACTAGATACAAGTGTACAAAATAGTCATGGAAACCAAAATAAAGCCAACCATTTCTCCCTCAGAGGATACAAAGGTCATATTATCCAGAATGATCTCTGGAAATCAAGGGTGTTAGAAGGGTGAATAGGATGCAAACCTAATCTGTTGCATTATTTGCACAAAATAACTGCCTTCATATTTGGACCCACAACCTTCCAGTCATTACTTCGACACTTTTCTCACTACACCAAAAAATTGCTCCCTTCCAACAATTACAGTTCAAATGGACGTCACAATCCTCAACTCTCTCAAAGGATAGACATAGATTTGACAAGAGGATAGAACACGGTCATTCATTCACAAGCATATACCAAGAAAATCCCAAAATAGCTTGAAAACTCAACTCACTTGAATCTCTAGGGGGTGCCCGTGGATACCCATCCGTCGATCTATCATGCAAGATCCATCAGTTACTAACAAAGAAGGAAACATATCAAACCCATCAGACAGACACAAGTTTAAAATCAGTTTTATGCCCGTCTGAACATCCACTCTTTCTTGTAATGCGTAGTCACCAGTGATCTTCCCATAAGCTCTCAATAAGATAATCCACCACAACCCTATATAAAAGTCAAGATGCACACAAAAATTTCAGTATTCCAAAGATGCGGTGTACTGCGAGTTTAGATAAACTATAATTAGACATAAATCCAAAAGTTACAAGCCCGTTAGAACAAATAATAAGCCTGTCCATTTCGACTATGAAAAACCTGCTTAATTTAACGGTGTTTTGGCCTACACTACACATGACCTAGATTTGCATCATTTCAAATCCACCTTTCCAAGGTGGCCTCATAAGTTGATCGGCCTTTATATGTGGGGTTATCTGCTTCAGTTTCTTGTCCAACATACATAAAACACATACTAGAAGTTTGCATAGTGCATCCACTGCTTTGTGGGACCTAGCCATTGTGGGGCATTCTCGTATAAATTATTCACCTGGGACCTATAGATTGGTCAGATTAATGTCAAATCATCTAACACAAATAATGAAACAAATCGAGTTTAAGTTTAATAATATTTCACATAAAAACCTGAAATGCCGCCACTCAAGAACAACAGCACACGACTTGATTGACACTAGTAATAATGTAAAATGCTAGACTTTTTTCATAAAAATCATTCCATATAGCAAGTCAGAGCACACTTACCAGAATCCACGGGAGCAACACGGCCAATAGCTGACTCCCCAAAATCTGGATCTAAGACCTCTTCAAATTTACTGTCCTCAAGAGGCACCATTCTAACCTTGAAACTTGCTGGCATCAGGCCCTGCCCTGGACTGTAGCAATCCACTGTTTTCTCCCAGCTCTAAGGAACAAACATAGCAACTTTTAGACATTCTGACAAAATTAAACATCAAGAAACAGCTATATTCCACATTCCACCAACACAGATGCTTTACTGAAACAAGATGATAAAGCATTCTGAAAAGACCACTTATTGAGCAAAGCCACCAATCCAGACTTAATTATTGATCATTTCCAATTTAGTACGTGATATGAAAGCGAAATCTACTTTCTTTGGTGGCATAATTGAGCTGCGTTTGAGACAAAGCAAAAAAATAAAAAGTAGTTTCACTTAACCCAATGACTGACCACTTCATATATATGCATTGATATCTAACCCCAAAATATTTATGGACATCCCCAATTCAATGGCAATGAGTATGCGTCTGAAACTGAAATGGTAATTTTACTCAGCTGTCAATGGTCTAATTCCCACTTAGAATTCAAAAACCCTATGAAAATTACACCATTCAATGTCACATTCCCAATTCACAAGTTTAAGGTAGAGATTTGGATCAACAGCATACCAAACTTCTTGTTATTAAAATAGATACGAGTTCATGGTTAAAACACCAAAGGCACATGCATGCACTTAAAGGGAGAGGTAGATTTAGGTGTTCAAACTCAATACATTACTAAGGCCAAATAAGTGATTCTGAAACCTAATCATTTCTAAATTTCAATCACTTCCATGGTATAAAAACTAGTAAAACTCAAATAACATGATATTTACCCTAGCAAACAGTATATATAAAGACATATGTGATGTGTTAGATTAAAAAAAATATAATTTCCAAACGAATGCCAAACATTGCTGTTGGAATTATTCCAATGTTACTTCAGTTCCAAAATTTATCTGATACCACAATTACAATGGTCAAATATTCCCAAAGGGAAACCAAACTGCAATAAGGACTAGAATACCCCCCATTAAAGCACAAAACAATTATATGGCTAATACAGTATAAATCAATGTAAAATTACCTGCAATTGCAAGGTATGGAGGAGGAAATTTTTCACAATTTCCCCCTCCCCCTTAAGCAAGAACGCAAGAGCCGATGGAACAAAGTCCCGTATAAACACCTGATCGTAATTAAGCGGCTGTTTATCATTGGGGTCATTCGCCGCCACTGTCCCCACCGGACTTGAACAATAACTAACAACCGCATTCTGCAACAACTTCCACGCCTCCTTTTCTATCTCAGACTCCTCTCTAACGGCCTCAGCCTCATTCAAAGCCCCTAAATGCAAATTATTTTCGTTCTCACGCGCAAATTCTACCGTATTTTCTTCATCTCTCGCTATATTTTCATCCCTATCAATCTTTTGTACCACGAGAGGCTTCGCATTCAGACCACCCTGAACGTAAATCCTCTCGAAGTTATTGTCGTTCAAACGAGTCTCGACCGAACTCGAATAATTCCTGACATTTGAGGCAACACTAGCAATCACACGCACGGCTCTGCACATACCATTACCAGTACAGTTGGTTAAGAAAGCCCTAGATTGACGCCAAATTGAATTTGGGTCACAAACTGGTTTCTGGGTCTGATTGATTTCGAATCTAAAGCCCAAGATTCGAGGTGGGTAGCTGTGGAAATTCAATCGATAATTGGGCGAATTTGAGGTGAACGAACGGTGGAATTGTGGGAATGGGAAGCCCAAAAAAGCCGAGTTCCGGCCATGGATTAGAATTCTACAACAAGGTTTCGTGGCCATGAAACGGATTGTGTTCATAGGAAAGAAGAAAAATCAAATTTGGAGACGCGGGCTGTATATTCGATGATTCTGTGTGTCTACTTTTGTGTATATGCAAACAGATCTTCTACCCTCGGAAATTTAATGATCAGAGATTACACTTGTAAGATGTACAAAAAACAAACATAGCCAGGAAGATTGTGTGTGTGTGTGTGTGAGCGAGAGAGAGAGAGAGAGAGGAATGGTTCATTTCGATGGGAAGCGCCTTTTATATAAGGCGTGAAAGGCGGGAGCTGCCTTTTCTTCCAAGAAAAAAAGCCTACAATCCTTCTAAGTTTCGCGGCACTTGAGAAACTAAAATGGCAAACAGGTAGGCCCTCTTTGGTTCTTAACCATAGATGTTTGAAGGTCTCCGATAGCCTGACCATTAAAAAAAAAAAAATCTAAACTAGGATTTTATCGTTGAGGGACTAAATGCTATATATAGAAACGTACGTCAATTCTTAGAATTATATGTACAATGTATAAAATTATATCAACAAAAAAATATATTTAATGTAAGCAAAAGTTAATATAAGACTAACAAAAAAATTGAACAAAAGGAAAAAGATTTTAGCAAATGTCGTTTATCAAAGAGCTACTCAACATTCTTTTGTATCATGAAATTAATATGTAATTGAATATGTGATAAATTTTTAGCGACTTCATTTCTTATTTACCCATAATAACTTTTGTCTAAATACATTGGATACAAAACAGTTATGATATTTCTATACTTGAAAAAAAAAATATTCAGAATAGAAAAATAATTTATATGAAATAATTTGAAATAATAACCCCTTAGTTGATCCTAAAAAATAAAAAAGTAAGAGATTGATATGTTTTGACTCGCGTTACAACTTCCCCAGAATTTTCTTTTCAAATGTTTTAGGTCTTTTGCGAGTTAAGCCGTCGTTATGCTTTGCCTAAGGGTTACTACTATTACTTTGTTTGTTTTTATTTCCTAACTTAGATATGACTCTAGAAGATTTGAGTATATATGCGTTAAGTGAATACAATTTTAATATTATTTCACAATTTAGTTTTGTATGGAGTGAAAGTCTTTTTTTTCAAAAGTCTTGTACAATTTATAAGGGAATTTTCTCAAAATTTAGGAATTATAATATTTTATTATTTTCACACTTACCTAGTAAAAGTTGCAGTAGTTTATTATGAATAAGATACTTTGTAAAGAAAATAATGCTATGCATTTGAAAGACACACAATGGTATATCTGGAGAATGTGTCTTTGAGATAGGGGTCAGTGCAACAAAAGATAGAGTTTGAATTGGATACCTACATGTGTTCTTAGAAGTATAAGGGGACAATGGCCTCCTCGGGCCATTGAATAGTTCCATCCCTGCTTATAATCAGTTGCCAGGATGATTGTCTGTTGTCAAAGGGAAGGGTATTTCAAATTTTACATATCTTTGTAGTGTTTTAATTTATTTTTCCTGTTTCTCTCACTACAATAGATTAGAGGAATGGTTACCTTTTCTCCCTCCCTTCTCCTTTCCTTCCCTTGCCCCCATCATACCCTTCCACAGTAAAATTTTACACCCTCTTCCTACCTTCTTCCATTTATTCCAATCCTCAGTTATCCCATTCTTCCTGCTTCCACTCTGTTTTAAAATGCCTTGCTCATATATATATATATACCATCTCCACGTTTGAGTAATCTTCTTCCTTTCAAATCTCTTAACATTCTCTCGTTTGGTCATCCAATCTAGTCTCAACATCTATGGACCTACCAATTAATACTCCAACCACTAGAGCGCCTACTTCTCAGGTTCAACATAGTTCCATGAGCTCCATGGGATCATGCTCCAAGATTGTGACCCAAAAGGCGGGTGCAGCTCACGTGATCTCTGCCGAAGTTCTAAACATAGAAAAGAAACCCCCCAACCCCCCTTTCCCAAGAGACTTGACCCTTCACCTTTTCCAGCTCTCAAGCCAGTTGATAAGACATCTGATTTTTCATCTAAAGGTGGGGAAATAGTTCAAACTTGGACCCAAATCGGATCCTCACATGGAGTCAAGTAGTCCAAAATCTTAATAGAGTATCCCCTCCTTCAACTGGATTAGAGCTTCCTCTTATGAAGCTGAGATATTGTCAGCTATGCAAAAAAAAGAAAATAGAGTGGTGGTCTCTTCTCCAAAAGAAGTAGCTTCCAAAAGGTTATATCAAGTGGAAAAACTGCCTAGTAGGCTATTTTGTTGAGAAAAAAGCTTTATTTCTGCATTGCTAACAGTATAGTGCACAAACTTTGGGATAGAATGGGTCTCGTGTTAGTTTTGGCAGATGATAAAGGTTTTTTTCTTCTTCAAGTTCACTTGTGAACTGGAATGCTCTAGAATATTGGAGTTGGGACCATGTCGACAGACCACATCACTCAGGAATTGCAATCAAAAATTCCAATTTGGGTTCATCTTTTCAATTTGCCCTTGGAATTCTGGACAGAGGATGGCTGAGTTATGTATCAAATGTTGTGGGGAGGCCATTATCTGTTGATAGGCTCACTCAATGGTGTAAAAGGATAATGTATGCTAGAATATGTGTTGAGCTAGATGCTGATCAAGAGCTAATTGAGTCCTTTGATCTCAATATTAATGAATCCAAAGTGATTGAGATTAAAGTGGAATACCCTTGGAAGTCAATCGTTTGCAACATCAGCAAATTGTTTGGTCATTCTCATCTTACTTGCTTAAAAGCTCCACCACAATAGACTGTCCCTTTGGACCAGTGGCAATCTGTTAAAACTCCAAGAATCCTAATGCTACCAACCTTAAAGGTAAAAAAGATTGTGCCATTAACCTCAACGTCCATAGAAGTTACTGCATTGAACAATGTATCTAGCCACCAAGGCATATCCAGTAACAGGGGTCCTCAAGAAGCTGCAAAGTCTACAAAAGCTTCTTAACATCTACATGACCATTCTCTCTGTCTATCCAAAGCCATTGATGAAGTTCCAGTCAACTCCTCAATTGAATCCCCAAATAGATTTGGATTGTACTTAGTGAGCTAGCCACCTCCAAAATGACAAGGAAAAAAATAGAATAAGTACCACTGATCCCTGGAGGTGTTAAGCTAAGTAGGATCATCTCCCAAAGAATTCCTAAACCTAAATGATTAATATTGGATGTTGGAATGTTAAGAGTCTTAATGCCCCTACAATGAAAGATGAAGTTAGAAAGTTCATTTTTGATTACCAACTGGACTTGATTGGTATAGTGGAGACAAAAGTCAGGACAATAAATAAGGAATTAGTAATAAGGACTGTTTTAGGCACTGGGAATTCTTTCACTATTACCATAGTCATTTTTTGGGTAGAATATGGGTTGGGTTGGAACCCAATGGTGCTAAGGGTTCTCAAAGTTGAGGAAACTGAGGAAGTCATTCAATTTGCTGTCACCCACACTAACACTAAGGCAACCTTCTTTGTTTCATTTGTTTATGCTCTTAATGATGAGAATGACAGGAGGCCCCGATGGACAAACATAATTCATCAATCACAGATTCTAGTTGACAAACCATTGGCCCTTCTAGGGGACTTTAACATATTGAGAGATTTGCAAGGGACCTTGGGAAGAGTCGATACTTGGAACAAGGGCATGTATGATTTTGTAAACTGCCTCCAATCTGCTGAACTTACAGACTTAAGGTTCTCTGGTTTAGTATACACTTGGTCTAATAACAGGGACCCGTCCCAAATTGTGGTCAAGAAACTTGATAGGGTTCTAATTAATGATAAATGGAATCAACAATTTCCTGAAGCTGCAGTTGAGTTCGTCACACCTGGACTTTATAACCATAGTCCAGGCATTCTCAGAATGGGAGTTCCACGGAGTAAAAGGAAGTTCTCATTTAAGTTCTTTAATTTTCTTACCCTAAGAGACGACTTCTTACAAATGGACTCCAATGTTTGGGCACATCCTGTTAGGGGTACGTAACAGTTTTTCTATAAATTGAAATTACTCAAGCATGAATTCAAGAAACTAAACAAACCCAAACAAAAAAATGTTTCCCTAAAAGCTCAAGCTACAAACGTGGAATTTGGTAAGTGTAAGAGACTCCTTGATTCATATCCCAAGGATGTTGCTCTTAGATCCCTTAAGGAGGAGTTATTAGAAGAATATGTTGGCACTGCAAGAATTGAGGAGTATTCTTTAGGCAGAAATCTAGACTTTAATGGCTAAAGTATGGTGATTAGAACTCTACCTTTTTATTTGGAGCAATCAATGTCAACAAAATCAGAGACAAGATCCTATCTATTGAAAGACCAAATGGTACATCTAGAGATGATGCTGAAGAAGTGAAACAGATTGTTACCAACCAATTTGTAGAGCTTTCTTGGTGATAGTCCTTCCTCCTTAGAAAAGGATGAAACACTTGGAAGTATTCCCTAGAAACAACTCCCAATAGAGCAGTCACAAAACCTATCCAGAGTCATCACATATGAGGAGATCAAGAGAGCAGTGTTCTCAACATACTCAATAAATCACGAGGGCCTGATGGCTTTAATGGTCATTTCTATAGAGTTGCTTGGTCAGTCACTAGAGGAGACATATGTGCTGCAATCAAGGAGTTTTTCATTAGAAGGCAAATCCTGAGAGAAACTAACACTACTATATTGGCCTTAGTTCCTAAGGTCCCCAATCCCTCAATGGTGGATGACTTTAGGCCCATCTTTTGTTGCACACAATGTATAAGTTCTCCATGAACTAGTGAGTCATGACTAGGCTGCATTTGTGCCACAAAGGAGGATTGGTGAAAATGTTCTCTTAGTCCAAGAACTCATGAGGGATTACCGCACAGATAGACCCTAGATGTGCTCTTAAGGTTGAACTTATCATGATTCCGTCTTGAGGAGATGCAACTTCCCTATAAGCATGATTACTTGAATCCAAAATTATATGTCCATAGAAAGGTTCATCATTTGCCTAAAAGGTGAGTTGGCTAGTTTTTTTTTTCCAAACAAAAGAGATGAAAGGCAGGGTGACCTAATGTCCCCTTACTTGTTTGTCCTTGTTATGGAGGGCCTTAATCACATCATCAAAGATAAAAGCTCAGCTTCCAAATTAGTTCATATGTGCTTTGCTGATGACTTAATACTTTCAGTCATGGGGACCTAAATTCAGTTGTCATTTTGAAGAAAGCTCTTGACAAGTTTCAAAACCTTTCTAGTCTAAGGGAAAATACAACAAAGAGCTGGCTTTTTTTGGTAGGAATTCCTACAAATCAATGAGATC